GAGAGAGAGAGAGAGAGAGAGAGAGAGAGAGAGAGAGAGAGAGAGAGAGAGAGGTGGCAATCAAGGGGGAAGGAGAGGAGGACTGGTGGAGGGAGGGAGGGGCAACAAGAAGGGATGGATGAGCGAGGCAGGGATGGAGAGATGAAGGAAAAGAAATATAGGTAGGGAAGACATGCTGTCGAGAAAGTGACATGTAGCTGACCTTTCTGGCTCTGGACTGGAGGACAGCTGGACATTTGGTGTCATACTTGTCCTTCGATTAAGTGCCTTCTCTTCCTCCTGTTGATCGCATTGACACAAACACGTTCATATTGAAGTTGATAAGCCAGTTGCCTTCTATCACGAACCATGACACATAGCTCACTGACGGTCCGTGACCCTCCTTTGTGTTTGCATGTGTTTGGTGTATATTTAAATCCAAGTCCATACGAAAAAGGTGACTGTCACAGAATGTTCCTTCAGGCTTTCCCCACCTCGTCAGGAGGTTGAACCTGGACAGACAGTCTGCCCAGGATGCATTTGACTGATGGGGATAAGGGCTCACTAACTTGCCCAAAGCTAGCAGCACGTAAGGATCTACTTTGGGGAGCGCGCTGTTTTCTGTGCCCCTTTTTTTCTGTTCCTTACACAGGGGCTGTATATGAATGATTCCAATTGAATTTCTTGGGTTGCTGCTGGTACTATGGGCATCCCCCTAAGTCTCGTTTCTGTGCGGGCGCAGTTCCTTGCTGCATTTCTTCAGCCACACATGGTGCCTTTTATCCCTCTTGCAGCTCTTTGCTTGCTGCTGTTTGCACAATCTTCCAGCTGTTTTTCCTCCTCTTTCCTTCCCCCCCCCCCCCCTTAGCAACGTCCGGGGTACTGTTGGTGGTGGTGGGAGCAGCCCCCAACCTGTCTCTTATACACATCTAGATGTGTATAAGAGACAGGGTGGGAAGCATCACATGCTGGAAAATGGGTCCAGCATCCCATTGATTATCCATTTAATGGACTGGATTCAGTGGATTGTGAAATGTCATGCAGCAATGATTACCCTGGAAATCCCCAGGGGATTAACTGGCTAGTGGAGCGGCTCTGCCAAGATGCCAGATCCTGCTCTGCTGAAGAGAGAGAGAGGGGTGGATACGGTGGTAGAAAAAGACAACGTAAAGCAGGGAGATGACAGCCTACAAATCCCCCGACCGGCGACCGCGCCGGCCGCGACCGCAGTTGCCAGCCATGACCGGAACGGTCA